CTTGGAGAAGGCAGAGAAGAGGGAGGGTATTCTAGGCACCATGAATAGTATGATCCAAAGCACAATGGTGGAAAAGGAAAGGCATGTTTGAAGGCAGAGGATAGAGACTGGTTTGGCTGAAGGGAAGAATTCACAGAGGACATTAGGCTAGAAGATGTAGTAGGGCGTCAGATTAAAGAGGGCACTGAATACCAATTCTGAATACGAACTAATAGTTCCCGAGGAGAAAAGTATTACAATGAAAGCCCTATTTTAAGAAAATGAATCCGTTCATAGAATACAAGATAGAATGTTGACAGAAGAGATACGAAGAAAGATCGATGAGGAATCTACTGTAGTCATTCACATGAGGTGATAAGGGCATGAACCAGGATGGTAGCTATGGCAACAGAAAAGGAAAAGGAAGATGCAAGGGCCTCTGAGAAGGTTGAATCAAAAGAGCCCGGTGACCCATATCCAAGTAGGTCACAGTCGGCCAAAGAAGAGGGGAATTTGAAGAATGACTCAAATTTCAAGCTAGGGTGACTAGATATTAAGAGAAATAAAGAAGTCAGAAGAGAGAGCCAGTTTAGGGAAGAAAAGGAGAGGGCAAGAGTGAAGATGATAAAATTCCATACTCAGAAAAAAAGGGGAAAAATCAGCTCTCTTCAGATGACCTAAAAGGGAATGGGCTCTTAATCCAAGCCTGAAGAGTTAAAGGCTTAAGCCTTTGATAAGGACAGATATTTTATTAAACCTATGAAAATGAAATGAAACCTACGAAAATGTTTTCAAACATAAGGAAAAATTGAACCTTATCCTGATGACAGTAGGTTAAGGATAGCAATATCTTATAATTACACTAGCAATATCATTTTCAAAGGCCTTTCATCTACATGTTAGACACGGAAAAGGAAGACTACTTCAATTCCTGATTTATGAAACTGGAGCCAAGAGTAATGAGAGAAGTTAGTTAATTAGCATTTATTAATTGCCTCCTATAAGCCAGACACTGTGTTCTAAGTGCCAAAGATACAAAGGATATAGATATGTAGATAGATAGATAGATAGATAGATAGATAGACAGATAGATAGATAGATAGACAGATATTCTTGCTCTCAAGGCACTTAAAATCTAATGGGGAAGATGGCATGAAAATAGCCATTTACAAACTTGATAGATACAGGATAAATTCAAGGAAGACTGGGAAAAACTTCTTGCAAAAGGTGGGACTTTAGCTGAGATGTGAAGGAAGCCAGGGAAGCTAGAAGGCAGAGATAGGGAAGGAGAGAGTTCCAGGAACTGAGGGACAACCAGTGAAAATGCTCTGAATTGGGAGAGGTGGAAAATGGAGTGTTGTGTGTGAGGAATAACAAGGAAGCTAGTTTCATTAGATCCCAGAGTGGGGGCAGGCGAAGTAAGGCATAAAAAAACTGGAAAGGCAGGAAGGGGTCAGGTTATGAAGGGCTTTGAAAGCCAAACAGAGAATTTTATATTTGATCCTAGAAATGACAGAGAACCACTAGAGTTTGTTGACTAGGGTAAGAAGAGAGAGATGGTCAGATCTGCATTTTAATATGATCAACTTGACAGCTGAGTGGAAGATGGACTGAAATGGGAAAAAAAAAAAACTTGAGGCAAGGAGACCCACCAGCAGGCTATTTCAATAGTCCAAACATGAGGTGATGAGGGTGCACCAAGGTGGTGGCAGTATCAGAGATCAGAGGGGTATATTCAAGAGATGTTAAGAAGGTAGGAAATTTGACCACTGATTAGACATGAGGGGTGAGAGTAAAGACTCAAAAATGACATCTAAGTTATCAGCCTAAGTGACTTAAAAAATGATGGTACTCTTAATAATAACAAAGAAATTAGGAAGAGGGCAGGGTTTGGGGGTAAAGAGAATGAGTTCAGTTCTGGACATGTTAAGTTTAAGATGTTTATAGCAAATCCAGTTGCTAGTGTACATAGGCAACAGGAGATACATAACAGGTAGTCTCTGGAGGTCAGCAGAGAGGTTAGGGCTGGATAAGTAGATCTGAGAGTCATCAGCAGAGAGTTACTAATTGAATCCATGGGAGATGTGGTTACCAGGTGAAATAATATAGTTTTTATTGTTCAACGAGTTCAGTTGTCTCCAACTATGCTTGACCCCATTTGGGGGTTTTCTTGGCAAGGATACTAGAATGGTTTGCCATTTCCTTCTCCAGCTTATTTTACAGAAAAGGAAACTGAGGCAAACAGGATTCGGTAACTTGCCTAGGGTCACACAGTAGGGATTTGAGGCTGGACTTGAATTCATGAAGATGAGTTTTTTTAATTCCAAGCCCAGTGCTCTATCCACTGGGCCACCTAGCTACCCTGAAATAACACAGGAGAACAATACAAAGGGCCCAGACATCGTCTTATGGGGCACCCACAATTTGCAGTTGTGACACGCGTGAAGATCCAGCAAAGGAAACAGAAGAAACAGTCCGACAGATAGGAGGAGAAGCAAAGAGAGAACAGCTGTCAGGGGAAACCTGGAGAGAAAAAAAGTATCAACAAGAAGAGTGTGATCAACAGTGTGAAAGGCTGAAGAGCTGAAGAAGGGTGAGGACCAAGTACGCAAAGAACCCTGACTCAGAAAACCCTGTGGAGCCTGGAGAAATAAAAATTTGAATTCTGCTACAAACTTGATGATCGGATTTGGACAAGACCCTTCTTTCTGCGTCTCAGTTTCTTCCTCTCTATCATTAGATATTTTAACCAGATGAACACCAAAATACTTGCAGACCCAACATTCTATAACTCTATCTTATTTAATTGTTTTCGGGTGGGGAGGACAATGACCATTCCAATTAATTCTTCATAATTTTCAAGCATTTTCAACAGATGGTTGTCCTAACTGTATTAATACTGACCCTTCATACAGAGGTATCCCTTTATCCATCATCCACAGGGTCCCTGAGGTAATGGTAAAGGCAGAGGGGAGAGGCGGATCTCTATTAAAGTTAATGAGGTCAAAATAATTTTTCCATCTCATATAAACTACACTTGACCTCATGTTTTGAAGCTGCATTGACTGTACAGATATAAGTTGGCGGGCAAAGCTTTGAATCTGCAGTTTTTAAAAACTGGCAATTACTCAACATAATAAAGCTACTAGAAGACATATACTATCAGTGATTGTAAAGATTTACAACCAAATGAATGAATGACTGTGCAATTGTGAAGATTTACAACCAAATGAATGAATGAATGAATGACTGTGCAGATGTCTTCTCAAAGAAAATATTTTAAAAATTTAGAAAAACCTAAAGTTTTTAGCTAAAAACAACCAGGTTATGCCACAATGAGACAAGTTGTTGTTGTTGTTGTTGTTTTTTAAAGGTAGTCAGAATTATATCCATGATTCTCCAAAAAGCTAATGGATTGAGTGGTACAAATAGTTCTTTAAAAGAATAAAAATAATTTAAGCACTAACTTTTACATCTTTACTTATTAATTTAGAAAATCCATGCAGTAAAATCAACAGGATTAAAATACAAAATCATCATTTGCAAATATCCACTGGCCAATTCTATACAGAGGCAGGGAGACCTGCAGATTACAACCATGAGATGATGAGGACCTGCACCAAGATGGTGGCAGTATCACAAGAGAGAGGGGGGCATATTTAAGAGATGCTATGATGGTAAAAAACTTGACCACTGATTAGATATGAGGGGTGAGATACTGTATTGACTCTCAAAATTAAATAGAATGGACATTTAATAGAGTAGTTCATTTTTTCATTGTAGGAACCCAAACACAAATCATATCATTTCAGTTCACAGTTATTGTATTTTTTTTAAATCTAGCCAAGTCAGTGCAGCTCATTTTTCTCCTGTTTTTTCTCTGCAATGATCTACTCTCTCCTCCTCATCTCCTTTACCCCACCCCTAATTTCACAACTGAACTAATCATGGTTTGGAGACCTCGTGCAGAATTGATCATAAAGTATCTGGAGGATCTTGGCATAGGTATTTACAAGTAATGTAGTAATGTGCTGCCCCACTATGGCCACAAAAGTGTCAGATGGCATGGGCTAAAAGAATGATGCCATCACTCTCGAAAACCATGACTCCCAAGCCATAAATTAAGCCTCCACAGGCAAGTTCTAGAAGCCCATCAATGCAAATCATTGATGTTAATATCAAGGCAGGAGAAAACACCATTGTTAGAGAGAAGGAAAAAAAAAAGAACCCAACTACTTTAGATCTTACTTTTTCCATGAAACAATGTGACTTTGGGTAAATGATGAAGAGGGCACAGAGGCTCATTCCACATATCCATGCTGTGATTTTTCCCCCCTCAGGAGTCATGGGCCAGCCAATGGAAAAGGGCACTGCTCATGGAGGCAAGAGCAATGAGGAGTGCATGAGTGGGAATAGTTAGCTGTATGCGCAGAGCAAGCAGGTTTATAACAGCTGTTGGCTAGGGGTCAATGGTTCATGAACCACTGGGATCCTCCATGGATGCTCCAGGTGCCTGAGGCAGGACAGGGGTGTTCATCTGAGGCAGGCTCAGAGCCCTCAGGACTTGGACTGCTCCTCTCTGCCACCTGCTCCCATCCTCACACTCAACAGGGCTAAAAGGAAGTAGGGGGGAGAGAAGAGATTCGGTATCACTTATTTAATTCTTAGAAGAATTAAGAATAAAATAAGAAATTTGGTGAGGCAGATAGGGTGAGTATTAGTATTATCTCCATTTTACAGATGAGCAGAGGATCAGAGATATGAAACAGCTTGTCTCTTATTATATGGCATATATATTGGGGGGTGGGGAAGAGAGAAAGAGAGAGAGAAAGAGAGAGAGAGAGAGAGAGAGAGAGAGAGAGAGAGAGACAGAGAGAGACAGAGAGAGACAGAGACAGAGACAGAGAGAGAGAAGAAATCAAGTGCTCTATTTTTCAAATGAGGTTCCTGATCCAATTACCTTTAACAACTCAGTTGAGTCTAAGTTTAATTAATTAAATGAATATTCCATTTTCTTACAGATCAGGAATATGAGAGCTAACACCATGCTTCTACAATACTCTAAAATACTCTAATGTATTGGTATCAAACTCAAATAGAAATGGGATCATTAAACTGTACATAAGAATCCCTACAGTGCCATATTAACTTAGAAAAGAGCATCACCAACCAAGAGAACGTTGTACACAATAACAGCCACATTGTGCGATGACTAATATTGATAAACTGAACCCTTCTCAGCACTACAAGGATCTAAGACATCTCCAGAGGCCTCGTGATGGAAAATGCTGTCCACATCCAAAGAAAGAACTATGGAAGTTGAATCGCTATCATTTTTTTTTCTCATCTGTTGAGTTTTGTTTCCTCTTTCTAATGGTTCCTCCTATTGGTTTTAATTTTTACTTACAACTTCACTAATGTGAAAATATGTTTAATAGGGATGTAAATGTATAGCCTATATGAGATTGTGCGCTGTCTTGGGGAGGGTGCTGGGGAGGAAGGGGGAGAAAAATTTTAAACTCAAAAGCATATGGAAGTGATTGTTGATAAATCAAAATAAATTAATAAAATTTTAAAAAAAGAAATAAATTGCTGTTCTATGCCTGAAAAAAAAGATCATCTATGTTCTATTGTATTCTTACTTATTTTGTTAAATATTTCCCATTTAAATTTTAATCTAAGAGCAACCGAAGATATGTTTGACAACACTGTTCTGATGATCTCAAGTAACAGAGTAAATAAATGAACAGTTGTCTAGCCATTAATTTTAAGGGCTTATGCACAGATTAAATTCATAACATGGTAGATGGGAAAGTTCTATTGAAATTCAAGGGATTATCACACGATTTTTGGCCTGGATCAGTGCTTTCATTATTGTCTATAAATTATGGTCTTAGAGTATTGCCTGGAGAGAGAAGTTAAGTCACTCTTCCCATGGCCAAAGATATATTAGAAGTAAGACTTCCTTGACTCCACAGCCAAGAGTTCTATCCACTGGTGTAAGGGTTCTAATTCCATCTCACCTTTGCAACTCAGTTCTTGATACATAGTAAACATTTGATAACTTTTTTTCATTCATTTAGGAAATTATCTGGGTGACCCTGGATAAGTTTTCTCCTATGTAAAGTGAGGAGGTTGGCCTTGATGACCTTCAAGATTCCTCCCAGTTCTAAAGCTGTGCTCCTATGATTCCCTGACTTTCCACAATAACACTAGACATAATTATTATATGTACAGCCCAAAAGAACCTGGACTGGAAATCACAAGTCCTTGAGTCCTGGCTTGGTCACTTGCTCTTTTTATGACTATAGGCGAGTCCCCTAACCTCGTGAACCACAGTCTCTTTATGTGTAAAACTGGGATAATGCTACTCACAGTATTATCGTAAGAGTCAAAGGAGAGATGGTGTATTAAAACAGGCCATAAACTTCAAAGTAATATGCAAGTGTACTCTGAGTATAGGGTACTGTCCTTGGAGCCAGGCGGCACGTTGGAAAGAACTCTTGATTTGGAGTCAGAAGACCTAGGTTCAAATTTGAGCTCAATCACTAATGTGGCCTAAGGCAAATCACTGGGCCTCAGTTTCTTCATCTGTAAAATAAGGGGGATGGACCTCAAAGGTCCCTTCTAATTCTAAATCTACAACCCTATAACCTTGGTTCAAATTTCTATTGACATATGTGGGTTACCATGGTCCAATCACTCAACCTTTCAGTACCTGCAGGCAACTCTCAAAGAACAAAAGCCTATCTAGAGGGAACTCCCCACATTTGAACTCTCTGGTCTTAAGAATCAATCGCTACTAAAATATTAGTAAAAACACTGATCCTGTTCATTTGTCAGCCGTCTCAAGGAAGACGTTAATAACGTCTAGTTTAGTTTAAGCAAGAACAGATTGAGGAAAAGAGTTGGTTCTTGATGCCTGCTTTTTCTTTTGCCAAGGTCAAAATTACTCAACCTAAGAATATGTCATCAACCCAACATAATTACTTCAGATACTACAGGAGTTTCCATAAACAACCAGCTAAAACTTATCATTTGCGGGTGATGAACAGAATAAAGATCAGGAAAGGGAAAGGAAGAATTTGTTATTTTCCTTGATTAGAGGTTACATTCTTTCATTCTGTCAAGGAATTGGATATTCCACAGTCTAGTTCTCTTTTCTTCCACTGGACAACAGATTTGTCTTAGAATTAATGTACAAGCATTTATTAGGCACCAAATGTCAAGCACTGTGCTAATAGATGGGGAAACAAAGAGAAAGAATAAGATAGTCCTTGGTCTCAAGGAGAAAGCATTCTAATAGAAACAGACGACACAAAAAGACAAGAGGATTCAGCGGCAGGGTGGATGGAAAGGCTTGGAGTCTGAAATGGTATTTGTGTGCATCAATATTGTCCCTGAAAAATCATCATGTAGGACTTAATGTTAACTGCAACAATATGTAATGACTCATTTCTACTCCCGAAACTTTTCAAGAAAAAAATTAATGAATAAACATTTATTAAGTGCCTACAATGTGCAGACATTGTGCTAAGCTCTGAGAATACAAAAAGGGGCAAAATCCAGCATGGTAGCTGCATCTACCATGGCTAAAGGAATAGTTAGGGATTCCAAATCAGGGGGCTTTTCCATCATTCCTATCAAGAGGCACTTAAAAGTCATGGTTTCTGTGTAAGATCCTCTCCACATACTCTCAACCAATCGATAGGGGACTTATAAGCTAAAGATAAAATGCTTATTAGCTTACTTTGGGATGGCAGATCATGAGGCCTGAACCTTCGAATCATCCCCAGGAATAAATTTTGCTTTATTCATCCAGGCCTGTCCTGGCCTGTGCCCACCAGGGCTGAGACATCCCATGCAGGAATTGTTGGAAGGGTCTGCTGTGACATCAGAACATAGCTTAAGGGAAAGCAGAAAGACACCAGCACTTTACCAAGAGAGGGGCAAGAAGAGCCCAGGAAATGAAAGTTTGGCATATTCGGATTTCTCACCATAGGCAGAATTGGAAAAACCCTGGGAAACTAGAAGAGCCAATCTCTCTCCACTCATTGGAAGGGAGAGGGGGAAAAGGCAATGGAGAGGCTCTTGCTTTCTGACTTCCATTCCACAGTCTATTTTTCATTCCTTTTTGTCAGTGACTATTGAGTCCTTACTGTGTGTAATGAGCTGTTCTTGGCGTATTGGTGATACAAATATGATTTAGAAAGGACCAAAGACTGGACTCTTTCCCTGCTGGTTCCCCCTTCTCCATACCTGTGACCGGCCCAGACTCTCCTAATCCTGACTAATAATAATAATAGCACATTTATATAGCACCTACTGTGTGCCAGGCACTGTGCTAAGTTCTTTACAAATATTATCTCATTTGATTCTTATAACAACCCTGAGAGGTAAGTGCTTATATTATCCCCATTTTACAGCTGAGGAGACCGAGGTAAACAGAAGATAAGTGACTTGCTTGCTGTGGTCACACAACTAGCAGGTGTCTGAGGCAGAATGTGAACTCAGGTCTTCTTGACTCAAAGTCCTGTGCTCTGTGCACCATGGCACCACCTAGCTGCCTCCACTGAATGACCTGAATGATCTCTTCCACTCTCAGGGAACTTAAAACCTAAAAGGAAAGAAAGTCTGGTAATCACAGATGGATCATTAGGGCCAAAGGGGATTTTAGAGATCATCTAAGACAAAACCTTCATTCTGCTAAGAGAGGTGAGGTAACTAGCTGGCACCAGGGCCAAGGGCAGGAACAGAACCCAGGTTTCCTAACTCCCCCAGCAGGATTCCCACTATAACACAAACAAATAACCATAGTAAAAGGCAATATGTGCTAATTTGTCGAAACAAGCAGTTGCCCATTCAGAGTGGGGAGAAGTCCCTTCCATCCAGCGGGACAGAGAAGGCTGTCACACAGAGAAGACTTGACCTTTTGAGACAGGCCTCCAAGAATGGGTGAGATTTCACCAGGCACAGATGGAAAGAAGAGGGCCGTCCACTTGGAACAGACAGAAAAACTCAGCAAGTGGAAAGCCTCCAAACCACTAATTAACTAAGTAACCCCACTCTATATCAGAGAAATTTCATTCCACTACCTTATTTTGACTGAATGGCCACGAACCCTAGATTTGGAGTCAAAGGACCTAGGTTTGAATCCTAGTCTTTCTATTTTTTTTGGTTATTTTTACTCTCGTCTTCATCACAATGTTACTTGACCCTTATAAGCATCAATTTCCTTATGCATAAAATGAGAGGCTTTGGCTAGCTGACCTCTGAGGTTCCCTCTAGTTCTAACTTGAAATCCCTATCACCCTTGAACCACAGCACTTTCAAAATCTATTACCCTGAACTCCATAAAATTCCTCTTTAAATCTGGCAGCTTTAGTAGCAGAGTGGGGATTTGAACTCAGAACCTTGGCTGCAAATCCAGGATTCTTTCTACTGCCTCCCCACACACAAGGAAGTCACCGGTCATTGGAAGAGATGGGAACCGAACCTAGAATCCAGCTATCCGGACTTCAAATCTAGAGCTCCTCCCACCACACACGTCCTGCCCCCAAGCCCTAAATGAACCGGAAGATCCTAACCTTGCATCCTCAAAATAGGCACCTCCCCTGAGAACATCATTCCACAGGTCCAAGAGCAGACTATAGCATAAGACATAAAAAGGAGAAACTTCTGTCTCCATCACTGTCGTGCTAAGAATACACAGAAGACAACTTTTAAAAGAAAAAAAAAGCTTGCAGTCAGTCCTACTTACCAAAATTATCTGTCCTTATCAGTTTGGGCTGAAGTCTTACCAAAGAATGGGTGATTAAGGGCTCCTGTGCCACCAACGCCATGGGCAAAAATCACAATCAGAGAACCTGGTGACCGATCATGAAACCCCAGGACCAAGTGAGCAAAGCCTCCACGCCCAGCAGCAGCGGAGACCCAACTACCTCCTGCCCACTCCTGTCCCTTTTAGTTTATATGCCGGGGCAGGTCTTCGGAATTCGAGCTGTCCAAAGATCACAACTGGTTATGTAACTCTGGGCCATCTGCCCAAATTCTCCTCTCAGCACTCTGCTAAAACACCCCTAACAGAAAACCATGTACTTAGAATATGGCTCAAGGGAGGGTCTTTGTGGTGCCCTGCTTCTTTTCCCC